AGAGAGAGAGAGAGGCCTTTTATTTTCTGATTTCTTATTCAATAAAAAGTTGTGCCAACATTTAATTGCTCATTGGAGAGAATTGTTTGCATAAGTATCAAAACCAGTCTGAACCGGCGGTCGGGCCGGTCGAACCGCTAACTAGTACCTTGGTCTATTTGGTCGAAAATGCAAACTTGGTTTAGTCAAAATCAGTTAAAACTAATGTTTGACTCGTCTTGGTCTGTACGATTGGCCGTTTTCGACCGGTTTGACCAACCATGCTTTATGGAAAGGAATGTTAGGTGGTCAAGAAATAGCATATATTTAGGACGAGTGTAGCTGAGATGAGGATGTTGAGATTGAGATTAATGAGTGGCAATGCAAGAAAGGGTAGAATTCGGAATAAATACATAGGAGGGAACTTAGGGGTGGTGCAATAGGCAATAAGATATGGGAAAATTGATTTAGGTGGGCTGACCATGTGCACTGTAGACCTAATACAGTACCGGTTAGGAGGGGTGATTTGGTTCAAGTGAAAGCTCTAAAAGAGCAAGGGAAAGGCCGAAAAGGACATAGAAGTAGCGAGAAGAGATATGGTGACTTCTGGTCTGACAGATGGTATAACCCTTGAAAGAACAAAATGCTGGAATGGGTCTGTGTAGCCGATCCCGAATAGTTGGGATAAGGCTCAGATGATGATGGTTCATATTTTTCTTAAATATTTTTAAAATCTGGTGAAACCGGTACAACAAATGGTCAGACGGGTTTTGACTAAACGAGACCCCTCACTTATTCAGTGATATGTCTGTTCGTGATAATATTGTTTTTTTGTGCATCCAAATTCTTGTCATAGAGAGAGAGGTGCGATCATCCTTATTTTGTTTTTGAGATGCTTTATCTTCCATAGTTCACTAATTTGCAGGGCTTCTCGGTTGGGTATGACGCTTGAGTGGACTGAAGATGGAGTGAAGACTATTATTGGTCCAATTCCTGCAATAAAATACGATGCTACAAGGGGTCGAAAGATATGGTTTAATAGCATGGCTGCTGCTTACACAGGATGGAAGGATTCACGAAATGACCCTGTCAAGGCAGTTACATTTGGTGATGGCGCCCCTTTGCCAGCTGATATCATATTGGAATGCTTAAAAATCTTAGAAGAGGAAAGTGTCGTAATTCCATGGCAAAAAGGTGATGTTATTTTGGTCGATAACTTGGCTGTTCTCCACAGTCGTCGGCCTTTTGAGCCTCCTCGCCGTATATTAGTTTCTATCTGCAAATGAGAGTCTTTCTATTTCACATTGTCTGCTCTTTGGTGTCTATTGCATATAAACCATGTATACAATCAAAGAAATACACACATTTATACAGTGAATAAGGTTATGTATAAATGATGTGTAGAAAAATCCGTCTTGCTTTGGATTTGTACATCTATATTGTTCCTTCGAAATGATCAACATCAATAGATTTGATATCATCATGTAAGAAGCGTTTTACATTACATGGCAGTGTTTCGCCTATGAAGCTGTGAAAACTGAGAGAGATAGAGAGAGAGAGTCTGTAAACCATATTAGAATCAATAGCTAGGTTCGATAACATAGGGCCATTTCTTCTTTTTCCTCTCCGGTAAATCATGTGTTTCTCTCGGTTTACTGCTTCTTTGTTGCTCTTTTGAGCATGGCAGAAGAGATGTTGGATTTGGATGCAGGATTAATGGCTTTCCTTATCTTGAATACATTCCAAGCAGTTCCCATGCAATGCCCAGCTGTTGCCATAATGTCTCCTGTCACCTCCCCTGCATCTTCTCCAAATCTGCTTACCACAACATTCATCCGAATTTTGTTTGGAGATAAAGAGAGAAAATGGTCGAAAGAAACATGTGCAAATTTACAAAACTAGAAGTTTGGACTCAAGCTTGGCCACCACAGCACTGACCTAATAGATTCAAAAGCAAGAGGGGGGAAGAAAAACAATGGAAAATATAAGCCTGCGCTGAGCCCAGCCCAACCGTTGGGCCACACTTTGTCGTACAGACCCCAGTTTTTGAAGTTGGGCTGACTGGGCTGGGCGCAGCCACTTAGTCCATTACGAGCCTTGGCCATGTATATTGATTTTTCAATTTGGCAATGGCATGCCTTTTCTTTTTAAAACTTTGTTGAAATCCTTATAAGTTATTTGCTGTAATGATTTTCTCACCTGTTGGCTACCAATCGACTTGTGGTTCTGCTGGTGGAAGAAAGCGCTTTCCTTCCTGCCGTTTCTACGGAGTCCATGACAGTATCTACAAGCATCCAAATCAGAAACACATGAGAGAGGAGGGTTTGAGGTCTGTGTTTTCAATATTTCATACACAGTTTTTGGTTCGGTTGGTTAACCTTTCTGTTGTACATAACACAAATCTTATCTTAACAAAGCACATTATGATCTATGCAACCATAGAAACTCCGAAGGTCATTAGGTGCCAGTGGGTGGACAATTGGTGATGAAGAGACAATGTGCCCACTAGAACATGAAATGATGCTTTTTGCACAGTTGCCATCTATCTGTTGTTGGATGGAGACACTCATAATCTATCACTTACAATTATAGACTTACAGTGATATGGATCATTGGATGCTTCCTTTATTGTTGTGGTGCTAAGATTAAAGTGTGTTCTGAGTATGATATGCTCCTGCAAGAGGTTATACTTGCTTCTTTCAGATATAAGAGCCTATAGGTTTAATCCTTTGGCTCCATTATTTGTCACACTCTCCACTGTTTTGTCGCCCTCACTATTCGTTTAAAGTTTTCACTGTTTATTTCCTGTTTTCTTTTGAGTTCCTTGAGTCAATAGTCCTTTCCCTGAAAATCCAAGAGTTGGGAGCCCAAACAGGAGTGTTACTGCATAGCTAAGCGTGGTAGGATTTCATAAAGAAGAGCCAAACAAACCAGCTTTTGATCACCCTCTACTGGAGATAAATTTTTTGCATCATGAAAACATGGTATCATACGTGAAAGAAAAGGATTTGATTATACCTTGGGATGTTAATGATCGTCCAATTTTTTATCAAAAAAAAAAAAAGCTGAAAGAGAAGAATGGGTATCCACCGATACTTACCTAGTTTATTTAATAGAATCATGGCGATGTATGTTTTACATTAACCTCTGCCAAAAGTTTTACACCTTGGGAAAAGGGCTGGGGTCATCGTGATAACACCGAACAACCTAGTCACCATGTTGTGGTTTCCATTTTCACCACTAACATGACTTCACTAATAACTTTAAAAAAGCTAACTCCTAATCTATTTGAAAAAAGGGGTAGGGGTCCATTTTCCCCACTGAATTATCAAAGGAAAAAAAGTTTTATGCCTTGTCTCAACCATATCTTGCCTCAATGTACAACTATGCCGGTCCAGTTTTTGTAAAAATATTTGAAAAAGAAGCTTTTTGGATTTGATTACAGAGTAATAAATAACAAGTACGCTGTAAAATGGAAGTCCAGAAGAGAAAAAGAAACTATTCCTGCTTCTCTTCTAAAATTTGATGTAGGTACAGGAATTTCTAAAGAAGAAGAAGAAATGGTTTGGCAGACATAGATGGCTTCTAGGACAGATATGGTTTCTGATGAAGAAAAAAAAGAAAGAAAAAGAAAAGGCAAGAAGGTTGAGGTTTGTGAAACATCCTGCCCATATCAAATAGTGGATTTCAAAAGCTATGGAAGTTCTATTTCCAAAAGAATATCTTTATCAAATAATAAAGATAGTGCACTCCCAAATTTGTTATTAGTACTGGCGAAAATAACTGTTGTAAGAGGAGAAAATTGGAGAACAATAGAGCTATTTTTAGACATAGGTGCTAATATAAGCTTTTGCACAGAAGATTTATAGAAAACTAGGGTAAAATATCCTCAAGGGGAAGAAGTTGATACAATAATTGGGAGAAAAAATTAACAGACTTACCTTAAATGTCTTAGTAAAAATTGGAGATAATCTTGAGCAAGGAAGGATGCACTCCGTTGACATTCAACTGAAGAAGTTCTGGGCTGGGCTAGGCCCGACCTAGCCCTTGGGCTACCATTTGTGGCTGAGGCCCTAGTTTTTGGGCAGATAGGGCTGGGCCAGGTCATCTGGCCCTACTAGGAATAGTGTACTAAACTAAGACACTTATCAACTAAGACACTTATCCTTTAAAAATGGGGTTGGCAACGGGCCAGACATAGGCCGGACTAGCCTCAGCCTTGGTCTCCCCCATAGGGCTGGCCCAAGCCCAACCCGGGCTGAAGAGGCCTTGGCCCTTGGGTCAGGCCAAACCACAATGAAAGAAAAACATAAAAGAATGAAGTAAGTGAGGGTGAACTAGGCTGAACCTGTTGCGGCACTAGACCAGGCCCAGCCCGACCTGGTCATCGGGCTATATTTTGTAGCCCTGGCCTTAGTTTTTTTTAGTAACATAAAATAAAAGTAGATTAAAAAAGAAAATTGTTTCATAAGGTGGGAACCACATTTCTACATTTGCGGTCCCCGAGGTATAAAATATCTATCTTAAAAAAGGATGCAAATACGTGGTCCATCTTAAAATAATTAAAATAATTGAAACTAACCGTGCAAATGTTTTTTTCATAAAATTATTATTTTTAATTTTAAAAATTTATTTATTTTTTTATATTCATGATCTCCATGTTAGTCTTAAAAAATTAGGTAAAAAAATCCATCTCAAAAATAGATTTTCAAGAGGTGACTCATTTCTACATGGACTCATAAAAGCCGTGTCTGCAGTATTGAATAACTTACTAACAGCGTCTAGGGAGCCAAGGAGGACTTCTCCCGGCACGCTTCTGGTCAACTTCTTCCCTGCTGCTGATCGGATCAATGGTCCTGCTATCGACCCTGTCGCCAACTCCACCCCATTAAGCAATGCCAAGCTCATTTTCTCTGTCATCTTTGATAACTTTCTCGCCCTACCAACCAAACAAGAAAAGGGTAAAACATTTCCAACTCATTAAAACTACCACTTCACTTGAGAGAGAGAGGAGTGAAGTTCGGAAATAACCATATATCGGAAAACCAAAATATCAGTAATAAATGGGTGAAGTTTGTATGAGGTGTCAGCGGTAAACAATCATGATAAGGTACACCTCAAAATCTTGTTAAAAGATGCATTTTCAATGCTTAAAATCTTGTGTGGCCTAAAAATCTATTTTTCACCCCTATTATGAAATTGAAACCTCAAAAAATGTTGTAGATCTAGCATATCTATGAATACTCTAAAATCTCGACAATGGACGATATAGATAACGTGTTACAAGATATAATATTTTAATGTTTGAAATTTACTTTTTCTTTGATATCCATATATATCAAAGTCGAGGTAGTCGAGGGTTTTCTAGTGACGAAAGAACATTTCCCATGGGTTTCTAAAGTGCACCTTATTTGACTAGAAAAGGTTGTTCCATGCTGGAAAGCCCTCAATTCGATTATCTTCGCCTTGAGATTCATATATATGAAAAAAAAGAGAGAACTTCTAGTCTAGAAAATAGTTCATCTTTTAACACATTTTCTAGACTGTCAATTTTAAAGTGTTTATGGATCTGCTTGATCATCACAATTTCAAGAACTTTAAATTTCATTATTGGGTAGAACAATGGATTTCCATATCATGCAAGACTTTGTGGCACCAACATTGTATTTTCGGGATAGTTTTGAAGTGTTACTCCAATAGTATAAAGTTGACACTTTATACAAACCTCACCTTTATATAATATGGTTTTGTCTTTTAAACATGGAGGTCACAATTATTCTCACTCATTAGATATAAAATTAGATGGCTTAAAATAAGTCGTGAAGTCCGAGAATTTTTTTTTGAGAATGTTGTGTCTATTCAAAACACTCTTACAATCATCCATTTTAAAATTTAAATGACAAAAATGATTGTGACCTCCTTGTACAAAAAATAAATAATATCTTTATATACAATTTCATATAATATTTTGTCTGGGTTATCATTAACATATCGATATTGTATGCTTCTTTCATAGTCATGAAACACAATTCTATATAATATTATGTGTGGGTTATCATTAACATATCGATATTGCATGCTGCTTTCGTAGTCATGACACAAGACATATACTAATTTTATTAGAAGCATAAACAAAGCAACAACCATCAAACTAAAAGCAACACTCACACTAACAAATGGCAAGATCAACAACCCCAGGTCAATATAGGACTGCAGTTAACAATAGCTAAAAATGTGAAATAATAGTTCCTCCATATTGTTTTTGTAGACACCAATGAAATAACAAAAACAAGGAAAACAGAAATAATACAAACTAATAAAACTTATGTTTACATAGACAAAGTAGCATAAGACATATTCAAAGTAACATGCAAAAGGAACCCAAATATTCGATCTTCACCCCTAAATCCCTTACCTCTTTGCAATGATACTCTTGATTTATCGAAACATTAGATATTTTTTTGTTTTTTTTTTTGGCTACTCTTTTTCTTACTTCAGAATTTTTTATGGAATATGACCTATGTAGGAAAATACATTTTCTTGCAATTTAAGATTCTTGATTTAATACCACTTTTAATGAGCTTATATGAAAATCAAAATTAAAATATTTCAAATCAATAAAGAGAAATGCAAGTATTAAGAAAGTTTAAAAAATGAGAACTTCTCTTCTTTTGGGTAGATCAGAGGGGAAAGGGTGTTACTATGAAACTCAAAATGTCACGTTGTGGCACCCACCACCCTAATCTCGTATACTTAGAGTCCATTCCTGAAAAAAATGATGACATTAAATAGCAAATAAGATTTTAAAAAAAAAATATTTTTGATAAAAGATAAAATGCACATTTTTCCATAAGGAAAATGTGATCTTTTTGGGCATTCTTGATAACCGGAAGTGTTAGCTCCAAAAGCTGGACATTCTAATTTACTGTATCACTTTTTTGTTTCATGGCATAAAGTTATGAAGAAACTGGCTTTAGAAAGTTCCGGGTTCTCAAAAAATGAGAACCAGTAGGTTCCAAACCCCATGAAAGTTCACTTTTCTTGATTTTAGGTGGTTCACTTTTGACCTTCTTTTTTCTGTTTTTTTGTTTTCCATGTCCCTTTTTCTCTCTACCTCTCTAATTCTTTTTTCTCTCCAACTATGCCCCTTTCTCTATCTAAGCATGCATTTCCTATGTCTGTTTCTTCTCTTTCTCTAACTATGTCCCTTACCTCCCTCCCACTCTAAGTTCTATATGTCTCTATTCATGTCCATTCCCTCTTCACTTTCAATTTTCTCTAAATGTGTCCTTTCTCTTTATAACCATACCCTTTTTCTCTATCCAACCATGCCCTTTGCCTCTCGAACACTTTTTCACCAACTAAATGTGTCATTTCTCTCTCTCTCTCTCTCTCTCTCTCTCTCAGTCTTCTATTATAAAGCCTAACATATGTGAAGCTTTGTTCTATATATTTGAGAACTTCCCAGACATATTATCAAACAACTATTCCAGAGTTTCCAGATATCAACAGCTCTAGTTTCTAAGAATTCCAAGGAATACATACTTTCTAATTACCAAACTTCCCTTTAGGATCTTTTAAAAACTCAAATTATTTATGGAATTTCCAAAAAAAATAAGTTTATATAAGGTTACAATCTTAAAATGTAGAATTAAATATGCATCACAAAAATCTATCGAAAATGTTGTGTTAACGTTGGAAAGCCTTCTAATTGATCATCGAGATGCATAAATATAAAAAAAATAAAGGATTGAGTCCTAAAAATAGTTACAACATATTATTTAAACTGTCTATTTTCAAGATTTTTATATGTTTATAGATCTACTTGATTTTAACCATTTTGTGAGTTTAAAATTTTATAATTAGATACGAAACTAGATTTTTAGATAATTTTGAAAACTTTTTTCACCAAAATTATATGTTATAATAAAATTTGGAGGTACACCTTAATTGCATTGTTTAAAGTTGCAACCTTATAGAAACCACCCCTTTTCCAAAAATTGATTGCTTCTTGAAAAATCAGAGCTTCTTGAGAGACCAGTTAGCGACATGGTGCAAGTTTCCTACGCTCTAAAAATTAAGTATAACAACTTAAAAATAGATAATAGACAACGTTGAAGCACATTGCAAGCAAAGCTTGTACGGAAACTAATCCCCTCTATTGGTACGCGTGAAAGTATTTATGTAACGGTACTTTTACAAGAAAGAACTTGCCCATGCGATTAGGTACATGAGTTCTTTCATGTCAATTGGTCTTAGTTCATTTTTTTACACTAATTGACAGCGGATGAATAATTTCCACATCTATTGTTTTAAGAGAGTTCTTTCATGTGAAAATACTTTTATGAAAATATTTCATTTGTTAGAAAGATGGTTAGGGTTGTGGTGGTAGCATCCCCATACCTAGTCACTACATTATGGTTTTACTCCTAATCTACTAAAAAAACATCCCCACATTTAGTCATCACATTGTGCTTTTCATTCTTACGACTAACATTACCACACTAACACCTAATCTATTAAACAAACATCCCCACACTTAGTCATCACATTGTGCTTTTCATTCCTACCACTAACATCACCACACTAACACCTAATCTACTAAAAAAATATCCTCACACTTAGTCATCACATTGTGGTTTTCATTCCTACCGCAAACATCACCACACTAATACCTAATCTACTAAAAAAACATCCCCACACTTAATCATCACATTGTGGTTTTTATTCCTACCACTAACATCACCACACTAACACTTTAAAAAATCGAACTCCTAATCTACTAAAAAAACATCCCCACACTTAGTGTGGTTTTCATTCCTACCACTAACATCACCACACTAACACTTTAAAAAATCTAACTCCTATCTACTAACTACCATTAACATCACCACACTAACACTTTAAAAAATCTAACTCCTATATACTAAAAAAAAAAAAACGGTAGGGGCATTTCTTTCACATTGAAATTACCCCGAAAAAAAAAAAAGAAAAAAAATTTCACACATATCGAATGTACCCTAAAACAAAGGGCAAGCGTTCCCCTACAACATAAAACTTAAATACTTCCCCTTATCCAACTGTCCATTCTGAATGGAAGGCTAAGATTGCCCCAATTACAATATCACGTATCTACACTATTTTATTTTAAATTTTTTTTCTATAAACTATTTTGATATCAATTTTTTTACGTTCAATCATCTATTAAACTCGCACTAGCAAAAAATATAAAAATAAAATTTTCAATAAAACAAAATTATCAAAATACCCTTGAAAATTTTAAGAGGTATTTTGATCATTATATTTTATCGAAAAGTTATTTTTAATATTTTTTATAGGTACGTCCTAATGAGAAAATGACACGTATTAAATTTCATATTCATATAATTTATATAATAAAAACTAAAAATAAAATACTTTGATATGTCGGATCTAAGATCAAACGGTAAATGACTCTCTTTATCAAAATTGAATGACTGGATGGTAAGAAAAGCACACATCTTGTATCCTGTAGACGAAGTATAGAAACCTTTCCCTAAAACAAGGCCACAAAACTTTCATTATATCTACTCTCAACTCTCTGGGCATGAAAACTGATCCTTCTCTCTCTGTCTAAAACAAAACTTGCGTAAAAACTGATCCCTCTCTCTATAACAAAAGTTACAAAACTTGCATGAAACTACTCTCTCTCCCATTTAAGTCCAAAAGCAAATTTTCACAAATTTATATATTTGTCTATCAGATAAGCCCAAACCGAATTTTACCATTTTATACATTAGGCTCACAAATTTATATACTAGGCTTACCTTTTGATGCTCCTCCTGGCACGAGTTGTGTTCTTGCGACCACCTGATACCTCTCTCCTCTCCTTCCCTCTCTCTCTAAAAAAGTGCCCCCCTTTCCTAATTTCATTGCAGTAAGCCTCAGTACACTTGAAAACCCCATCCACCACCTCCCCACTTCCACCCTCCATAGCTCTCAACACCACTCCATTATACTCTCCCACTCCCTCTCTCACTCCTCCCCAAAACATCTCCTCTCTTTCTCTCTCTCTCTCATCCCAATTCCCACCTTTCTCTCTCCTCTTCTCACTCTTATTTCCATTGTTTGCAATGAAGCACGAGTAGTGAGCCAACAATTCGTCCAGCCCCTCACACCCACCGGAAAATGTGACGCCATAGTTGATTATTTTCGTGGACCTGCCGAAACCCGGCGAAAGTTTCGGCGAAACTTTGAACGAGAACAGGTAGTGGGACCAGTCGAGTTTCACGACGGGCTCGTCTTTGGCCAGTGGCCACAAAAGATCGCCGATTTGGATGATGGTGGCGAGGAATTCGTCGCCGCGGGTGAGCTGGAGGACGGAGAAGTCGCCGCGTGTCAGCTCGAGAGGGGGGTTGGCGGGGTCTATGAGGTAGGCGGTTGTGTATGGGGACGTGAAGAGGAGTTGCTGTTGTGTATGGTCTGGGTAGGTGGTTTCATGGAGAGTGGTTTGGGAGGGGGGATGGCGGTTTTTGTGTGAAGGCCTGAAGCAACCCATTGTGTGGTGGTTTTGGTGTTTGCTTGAATAGAGAGTATTACAGAGGAGAGGAGGTGGGGTATATTTGGAATGAAATTGAAAACCTCTCTCTCTCTCTTTCTCTCTTGTAGTAGTGGGGATGATATGGAATACTTGTCTCTTTTTAAGGAAAAGAACATGTGCCACACCAATCATTTCTCATCTATCCCTAGAGCCGAGAGAATCTATGCGATCTCTGTCTTTTGGGTAAAGGGATGATAATATGCGTGATAACTTGTATAGAATTGGGGGTGGCAATGGGCCGGATTAGATGGGCCCGGCCCTAATAAAAGGACCTTGCCAAAAAGAAAGTGGCTTGAGGGCTAGGTCTTGGCTGGGCTATTAGGCCGCCCCATGACCACAATAGGGTTGGGCCGGTCTTCTTTTTTCTTCTTTACTTTTAGGGTTGCGCTTGGGCTAGGGCTTATTTATCTAGGTCAGGGCTGGCATGGCTTGGGACTTTTGATTTATTTCTCTTTTATTTAGTCCAGTCTGGCTTGGCCTAGCCATGATGGGGTTAAGGCTAGACTGTGCCTAGTCTGGCTTGGGCCTTTTTATTTATTTTTCTTTTATCTAGCCCAGACTCGCTTGACCCAACCATGATATAGCTAGGCCAGCCCTTTGAGGACCAGGGCTAGGGCCAAGGCCAAGGCTGGACCAGCCTTATGACTGGCTGGGAATGTGCCAAGCGGACCAGTCTTGAAATGTTACACCCTTTGGGGACTGCAGCAGGGCTAGGGCCAAGGTTGGTCCGAATCAGACCTGGCTAGGAGCAACCCGGCCTTGAAAGGTTACAATGTAGAATTCCAAGAGCTGGCCTTGGGCCAATGCTATGACAAAGTTGGTCCCACTCGATCCTAGAGAGACCTGACTAACTTCGGGCTACGCCTGGCCTCGCCTAGACCATTGCTAGCCCTTTTTTCTGGTTTCTATGCAATCACATCAAATGCTTCACTCTCTTGATTTATGCAGGTAGGGTGACAATGGGTCAAGTTGAGTCTTGGTCGACAGGACCAGACCCAACTAGGTCTAAGTTTGACTTGGCTAAAACCTCGATCTGGTTTAGGTCCAAGACAGCTCCAAGTCAATTGGACTTGGATTTGGGTCGGGTCGGGTCGGGGGAATGTAAGTAAAAATTATTTTATATACTTTATGCTACATAATTAGTTTTATTTATATGTAATATATATTAATATATTTAAGTCGAGCTGGCCACGGCTGGGACCCCACCCAACTCGATAAGATCCACATTGGACCCGGATCTGGACTTGGTTGGGTCAAGGTCAAGTCAACCCCCACCCAACTCGAGCATGGTCGGGTAAAGCACGGCTTATTGTTCATCTTTTTCTTATTTATGCCTCCAACTCTCAACAACAACAAAAAAAAAATAGTCGAAGAAAGAGAGAAACCTTCTCCTTAAATATCTCTTTAAGCTTCAAGCTATAAGATATTATATAATAGTGTATTGCAATAAAAATTACATCATATAGTGTATAAAAAATATAATGAAATAATAGTAGATTATATAATACACAATAATATTATAATAAAATAAATAGTACATTTAAATATATTTAGGTCGGTCGGGTCAACATAGACCCACACCTGATCCAACCCCAACCCATCAGGTCAACAAATAAGACCAAGACCTGAACCCAAGTTGGGTCTACCCGTCGGTCTGGCTAGTCGACCCGACCCGTTGCCCACCCCTATATGTAAGTCTCTAACTCATGTTTACCCTTTGTGACGAATATCTCTTTCACACGCATACTTTGTCAAGAAGACATAGGCGGTGAGTTGTTCCCCACTTTCCCAGTGACCTTTTGAACCTCGTTTGATTTGAAGAGAATCAAGGAAAATGTTGCCCATTATTAAAAGCTTGCAAAGTCTAACACTTTTGACCCATGCATGGAGAGCACAACGAACTTTTCTCAAACATCATAATTTTTTGGAAAAAGTTTATATAAGGATGCTACCTTATATAATGTAGAACTACGGATGCCCCTAAAAAATTCTTCGGAAAATGTAATTTTAATGTTGAAAAACCCTTTGATTGATCATCTCGATATCGAGATGTATGATTATGAAAAATAAAAAGATTTTAAGTCTAAAAATAGTGTATTTTACAACATATTATCTACACCATCTATTTTCAAGATTTTCATATGTTTATAGATCTACTTGATTTTAACCATTTTTTAAATTTAAAATTTTATAATTAAATATAAAAATAGATTTTGAGATAATCCTAAGAACATTTTACATCAAAATTAGATACCATGATAAAATTTGAAGGCGCACTTTACTTCTACACCTACGGATGCATCTGTATGCAAACTGCACCCTAATTTTTTTCACACACAAAGGCCAAAGTGATAGTACCAAAGTGATAGTAAAGTGGCATTTCCCTTTATTACCGGCTTTCTTTTAATATTCAGATTGGGAATATCAAGAGTTAGTTTGGATTGAACCAATCTCGAAAATGCATCGGTATCAGCGCACTCCCCCTTATACCCCTTGCTTTCAATAGTTTATTTATTTATATATTTTATTTTAAAATATTATCTAATGTATTTTCAAGTCTCCCAACATCCCCCATAAACATCCTAATTTAATTTCATTATTATTATTTATTTTTAAATATTTTCTAAATCGTCAATTGAGATCGATCCATATAAACAATCTGACACAGATCTGTAGAATAAAGGATCCACCTTACTCTCCAGATTTTGAAGCACTTATATTGTAAAACTTAACATAATTGAAAATTAAAACATTGGCATCAGATGGAATCTTAGGAACTTTTCTATCCCTGCAGCTTCAACAACACAGCTTAACTGATTGGAGCCTTTAAGCATAACTCATGGAATCCTGCTTTCCATTTTCCTTGACAAAGACTTCATTCTATTTTTTTTCTGAAAGTGAAAGACTTCATTCTATTGTTGCTTTTCTAAGCCATGTTCCTTCAAACCGAAGCTTTAAAACATGGCAACAGGGATAAAAAAGCTATACTCTCGATTGGGTTCGGTGGCCGGGCTATCCGGATCTATACTCCTTGGGATTGCGGGATTGTCACCCATTTTGATTTTGTTATTATCATGGAAGTATAACCTTTATGTTGTGTGGACTACTATTGGTGTCAGATTCACAAGGGAAGAAAATTGATGGTCATAATTATATTTAATATTTTAATTTTAATTTTTTTAAAAAATAAGGGTAACTTGAAATTTCGGGTGTCTATGCCTCTAAAAAGATACGTTTAAATAAAATTAGAAAATTGACCAAAATCCCTATTATATTTTGGTTTAGGGAAATTAACAAACAAATCCTTTTTCATTTTCAAATTTTTTTAAAAAACACATATGTTTTATATTTTACACTTAAATCAACGCTCGTGAATATTATACTTTACTTTTATTTTTTTGTATATATTCAATAAAGCTCAATTTTTGGGCATCCATACTTATTACTATAAACATATTTGTAAAAAAGATATAAAATATAATTAATTAAAATAAAAATATCAAAACATCTAGACAAATTTCAAAATTTTAAGGATATTTTGTTTAATGTTTTTGGTACTTATTACAATGTGACATTATCAACTTCCCAAATTTGAGCCTAATCTGATTTAGAGATAAAAAAATAAAACTAAAATATAATATGCATTCTCAAAAGTGAGACTTGAGAGTAAAATATAACTTATATAGGATCATATTTTAATTTTTTTTATAATAAATTGGTATGTTTCATAAATTTTTCTTTAGTTCCCCATAAACATGACGTAACACACCTTCAAATTTTTTTGTCAATACAATATGTAGAAAAAGTTGAAATTCAAAAAAATATATTGTCCATTTTATTCCCCTTGTAATTTGCTGAAAATAAAGTGGGTGGTGATGCACCACTTTAGAAAAAACATCATCTCCCTCCTATTTCTTGCAATAGGGGGCAAAGAAAGAGAGTTTTATGTCCTCTATGAGATAAACAGAGGAGAGCTACAGAGAAACATGTATTGAGGGAGTTTCTCCATTTTTTGATTCGAAGAGAGACGGTGATTAAGGTCCATGTAGGGAGACTCCGTTTTATGTCCTCTAGAGATAAACAGAGGAGAGCTACACAGAAACATGTATTTAGGGCGTTTCTCCATTTTTTGAGTCGAAGAGAGACGGTTATTAAGGTCCATGTAGGGAGACTCCTTTTTGTTGGGCATTATTATAAGTTCAAAAAAGAAGTAATGGGCAATATGATAAGTTCAAAAAAGGGAAAAGTAATGAATAAATGTATTAGAAAAAGTATATAAATATATAATTTACTTTTGGTACAAGAAGGTTCCAATCACTTTTATTCGTTATATGTCAAATTGAATGGTTGTGAATGTACTATTGACTAGATTTAAAATTCAAAAAAAAGTTTCTCTAAGGGCTGTCTGGTTCCTTGTAAATGTTGTTTGGAACTTTGGATGCCTCCTAGGGTGGGAATCCCTTGCATGGAAATGGATTTCCACATTTTAAGCATTTTTTGTGGAAATGTCTATTCTAGGAAAATAGGTAGACTTAACATTTTTAGGAGATTGAAAGAGAGTCATAGACACCAAAAACTTGCGGGAAGTTCTGTCTTATAGATTGAGTTGAGGTCTGCCCAAAAAAACGAGCCGGCAAATCCTAGAACTCTAATAATTATAATAATTAATAATACACACACATGGGAAAATATTATGTCAGCCCATTAGCTGAAAGAATAGTACAAACCTAACGGTCTAAATTGAATTTGGACTGATCCGATGGTTACTGATATATTACGTATTTAAATTTTAATATTGTTTTATAAAATCAAATGACTTGAAATTTTTATCGTCCACTGTTTATATCATGGCACCCCAAATACAAATATTGAAAACTTTATTTGCAAAAAAATACCAAAATACTCTTGTAACTTTTAGGGGTCTTTTGGTCAATTTTATTTTATAAATTATTTTTTAATATATATATTAGTTCGCTTATTTTTCAATAGTAGACTCTCAAAATTTCAAATGAATTGAATTTTTAAATAAAAACTTAAAATTCAAGTATAAAATATAGTCATAATCGTTAGATCGGCTCAGATTCAATCTGAACCATTGGACGTTTACTGTAGCTACCAGCTAGTACGGTGACGTCACTCTCCCTTTAAGATCCACTTTGAAATTATTAAGTTGGTTATAGAAATTAGGTAGTTAAAAACAAGTATTGGCAATAAGTCACCACAAGTGTCTTTTCTGTTCACTTTTTAAGTGAAAATATTTGTAGCAGATAGATGGAGCAAATCCTCTGATAAATTGATCTTTCTTTTGAAGTTCCCTAGTATTACTATGGCTCTGAATTTCGAGAGGGTATCCAAGAAAATCACAAGCAATTTTAAGTCAGCTTTATCATATCCAATTTGCGCAAAATATGATGCAGTTTCTCTGGCAAAGTATGGAGCAACTTTAGAATTAGGATACGGTTTGTCAGGCATATTATGCAGCAATTTTAGTTTTGTAAACTCTTGAGCTTAAATCAATAGGAGTTATAATTGATTTTGAAGATGGATAAAGATTCATGGCCAGAGGTGATGGTTTTCTCCGACAAGTGATCATTAATACAACATCTACTCAATATAAATGTATGACTTTTGTAAGAGACAGGTGGTGAAATGGGGTTTCGTTGTGTATTATACAGAGATTCAAATGGTTTTGATGGGGGATCCGACAATCGCCTAGGTGGGTTTGGGTGGTCTTTTAGGGTCATCATAAAAAAAAAATGTGTTCCTCTCACCAAGATCCTCGAAAACCACAAGTCTTCACATGCTTTGGCTACATGTCTTACCCTTTTGGGCGGACAGGGGTAGATCATTTCTTGCTGGACGAGCATCCTGAATATTGTAGGGAAGAGGTCCGGTAAGACCTCGTTCGGAGCTGCTCTTCTTTGACTGCAACCATCATGGGAGGGGGGGGGGCTTGGCTTCTTCTCCTTCCGAATTAACCACTGTGTAAGATCCATTGGGGAAGGCTTGTTTGACTTCGAATGACCCTTCCTATTTTGGTTCGAACTTCACCTTGGTACGGTCATGAATCACAATGGACTTAAGGATAGGAATATGTTTTTCTTTACTCTCTCTCTTTCGTTTTCTTTTTTTTTGAAAAAAATATTAACTTGGGTAGAAATAGAATTCCAGCCATCCACCACATCGACCTTCTCTGCCTAGAGCCAGTTCTCAAGATAATTAGCACTGCCTTTTCTAACAAAATGATCTTTATTTTATAGTGAATTTTAAAGACATTTTATGAACTAAGAATCAGATAAATCGGTCGGGATATCATTCTTGTAAACAAGTGTATTGCAACTGAGATGTATATGATTCCTGTTGTATCTAGTATTTACTAAAAAAATATTACGTTGAAACAAATTACTAGCCAAATACATTACCGGCATAATATATTACCTAAAAATGGAAGGTTGTTGTTGGGATATCATCTGGATGCAACCTGAGCATGTATTGCTACTGTTTGACTACATCCAGAAGAAATTTGAGAAATACATTACTGTTATTTTTTGTTGGAAATACAACATAGAAAATTTAGCTTAAAATATAATTCTTTTATTTTGAAAGTTAAATTCATTTAAGGAATTTATTTTAGGAAGTTATAAATTGGTAAAATAATTTTATTCAAAATTGCAAAAAATTTGTGGTTACTTCCTTGTAAGGAAGGAGATCCGTGAACACAAGGATCGTGCTACTAAAATTCAGGAATCAAGGATCTTATTTATTAGGGAACCAAATCTACAATCTTCAGGAACGTGCACCGTGTATGTGATGGTGGGATCGAGATCCTTTTTTCATAAGATCGAGTACCCCATAATTGGGAGCGAGACCCTGAAAAAGATAGATCGAGTTCCGGTCGAGATCCTGGTCATGGAACACCGGAGCTGGATTTCGGAGCAGGAGCGCCACCCTGTTGGGATGCTCCCAGTGACTATGATCTAGATCATACATTACATCAACCAGACGATGATAAACAACACTTTCATAAATGTGCGTCTAGCTCTTTTTTATGACCTTTGGTCATGCTATTTGTTGTTGTGCCTTTTCCTCGAGCTGGTACATGCACTGAGCTGTTGTTGCCTCCATTTTAGACATGCATTTCTTGTTTGCTGTTTCTTCTAACTTTTCAGAGTGGTCTTGGCCGGACTTATAGTTAATTGACTTCTAAATCTTGGCCTGAAATATGCCATTATAGCTGGTACCATCTTATTCTTTTTATCTACTGTTATGTGGAGTGTCTCAAGGAACATGAAGAGGATTCAAACTAAATGTTATGTTTAGAAAAACACTTAAGTCTCTGTAATTGTATTCCTCTTCACTAGGAAGGTTATTCTTTGCTTCCTTTGAACCCTGTTTTAAGTGCAATGAAGCATGATTTTACATGCTAGTTTCTATCAAAGGAGGCATGATTTTACATGCTAGTTTCTATCAAAGACCTTAGTTTAGTCAGAATGAATCTCATGGAGATCCAATTTGGATGTAGCTAATTCAAATGCTTACTTATCTTTTCTGTATAGTTGAAAATGATGATTGGGCTCATTAGGTCGTTACTATTGATTTTTGCCTATTAATTTTTAAATTGAAACCTGTTATTTCAGATAGAGCCTACACCATTGAGCAAGGCCATTCATTTTCTGAGATTTCAAATGAGAACATCATGAAGTGGATTTTTCATTTGGATATCAGAAAAACACCTAAAGTGACAGATGATGCTAATTTCTGAAATTGTTGGTCTGAATTTTGTTGGTGTGACTGCTTACAACCATATGATTAAAAAGGCATCAAACTACCTGAAAAGCATTTATCAGAGACATGAATAGTGGAATCACTCACTAGAATGGCAATTAAGTGTACTTATAAATCAAAAAGCAAGGAGTCTTCAAAAATCGCACCATGGTGACTTTGGGCAGATCCATATAAAAGATTAGCTAATTTCCAGTAGTTTTGGCAGATTGAGATGCAATTGTGAGAGTTAATATTCCTCTTGTACTTGTTTTTAATATGGAAGCTTCAGTTTCCTCCATTTGCTAGTGCCAAAAAGTATATTGGTCATACTAGTTTATCCATTTCTCAACTGAGATAGCAAATAAGGTAAAAAGAAACTAGGGATTGAGGAAGATGTGTTTGAATTGGTAAAAAATATAATGAAAAATCACACACACGCACATACCAAGGACCTTGCATTTTCTAGGGAAGTTAAAAGATTAAGTGAGATAGGAAAATGAGTATGTGTAGTTAAACATTAGTTGTCCCACTCTTATCCCTCATCAAAGATCCTTGAAGCGCAGTTCAACGTGGGACCAGATGTCTTGGCATTTCCACCATTTCTGATCTCCTTTACCATTCTGTAATCGGTCTACACTCTCAAGGCAAAGAGGGACCTTCTTTAACCTCGAACAACGAAACACGACTAGCTCCTCCAACAATGGCCAATTCAACTCACACTCACCACATATGGTGGCTAGCTTTGGTAGATCATTTAGTTTCAATGTTCTTAACTTGGGCAATACATCCTCATCCATCTCCTCATCTTCAATTAATGCCTTTATTTCGTCACAAAACGTAACATAAATTTGAGTGAGATTTTTGAGCTGTTGTACCACTGGTGAAGAGAACTACCAATCTTGGACATTGATATACTTCTATTTCCTTTAGTAATCCAAAGCATCCATACGGAGGGCTGCCTTCACATATCCTTTCAAAGCTAGGCAGCAAAGCAAGATTCAGCATCACCAATGTCTTAAATGCATCTATATCCTTGGCATCCTCAGAGTGCACCAGACAGCCCAGATCGTCGCATTGGTCAATATAAAGCTGCTCAGAGATGTTGAGAGGGCGAAGCCATGTCAAACCTCTACTTTTGAAGAAAGACATAGACCGTAAGCTGTGTGCCTCTATTAAAGGAGCCAATGCTGCTCGCCTATCTATGATGGTGCAGCTTTCAAAATTTAGCATTCGTGTTCTCTTCCCCAACAGCTTCATAGTATGAGGAAATATATGAGAACAATGCAGAGAAATGTCAAGAGTGGTCAAGCATGACAAGTAGTTCAGTTCTGCCAAGCACGCTTCACTCCAATCTGCGGTATCATCAGCATCAGCATCCCAATCGTCTTCAGTTAACCATGCATTCAACTCCTCCAAACTACGCAACCCAGACAATACCTTAGGTGGAATATTTTGAAGGTACTCAATGTAAGATATATCCAGGTGCCTCGGATTTATTAAATGCCCCAATCTCAAAGGTAGCTCCTTCATATTAATGCACCCTTGAAGATCCAAAAGTTGGAGTCCTTGAAGCTCTCCAATTTCTGGTGGTGGCTCTTCAAGTTCAAAACAGTCTTTTAAACAAAAAATGCGGAGGTTCACTAAGTTTGATAGGGAATGAGGTAGGGATTCAATCCCAGTCCTAGAGAGATCAAACTCACAAAAGGCATGCATACATTCAATGAAATGAAATTGAGGGATGACCTGTTGGGATTTTTTATGCGAAGTTTGGGGCTCTTTGGCAATTGAGGAAGTTCTTCAAGATTGTTGTCCCATCAATGCGATTCTCTCAGCTCCTTGCCAGTCGGCAGCTTCAGGTGCCTTCTTCAATTCGACACCCTACTTTACTATGAAGTTAGGGCCATGAATAGACATAAGAGAAGTGATCCATAATGCCAATTCTCGCATCATGTTGTGCATTTTCATTGTTTGTTCATCGATACCACTTTCTATCATGCATGTTGTTTTAAGGCATTCGAGCAAAGCATAACCCCTGTTACGTGTGGCATCGAGAGTACTAGGGTTATCTACTATACCTTCTCAGACATTGTAATTTACTACGCCATTTTCATCTATTGTAGAGTCCTCGGGGAATCGCGGGCAATACAAAAAGAATGATCTAAGAACATCATTATCTAATTCATCATCACTAAGCTTCAGTATTGAACCATGCCATGTAAATTTGAAGCAGACCAGTTCATTTTGGTTATAGTATCCTCCCACTCTTCCATGCTTTCTTTGTTCGCCATAGCCTGTGCAACTGTGATGAGTGCAAGCGGTAGACCATCACATGTTTTGATAATGGTCTCGGCGAGGGATTCTATTGATGTAGAGGCAACTTGTCGACCTGCTTTCTTCTTGAACAAACTTCATGCTTCTGCCTTTGGTAATTTTTTTACTTCAATGCTTATGTTGGCCTCCAATTCACTGCACAAATCACAATTCCGGAGTTGTTAGGAAAACCTTACAGTTGTTCTTAACAGTTGGTCGAGGAATTCCAATTTCTTTCAGTTCCAATCTCTCCCACACATCGTCCAAAATCAGCAAAAATCTATTGTTTCTTAAAATTGTCAATAGTTCATCTCTTGCACTCGACCTCCACCCCAGACAAATCAAGGCACAACCGATCTCCAATCTTCCTATGTATGCTTGCCATATTTGGATTACGAGACACTGTAACCCATATCACAATGTCAAAACGACAATTAGATCGGAGTCGATTATGAACATTTTCCATTAGAGCCGTCTTCCCAATGCCTCTCATAACCATACACACCAAAAATCTCAATATTTCATCATTTATACAATCAAGAACCTTTTGCGTCATAGATCTCACAGTCGGTTGGTCATCAATCGGTGTAGCTTCCAACTCTTCTACGGCCTCCAAAGGGGGAGTCACCACCACTGGACTCCTGAAATCCATTGATGCACACAAAACACAACGAGAGAGAGAGAGATTGATTTAGAGCCTCTGTTCTGGTTGTGAAGGAGAGTAAGAAAGAGAATAGACAAACAAGAGGAGAGGAGAATATGTCGTGGAGAAGAACTGATGCCTCATGTGCTCAGTTGTTGGAGAGATATTGAAGGATTAAAGTCTGTGGTCCCTAAAATTAACATTGTGGACCAAAACATTGAAGCACCTTCTTAAATTTTAAAACATAGAAAATAAAACTCACTAAGAATTTTTCTGTTTTTTATTAATTATTTTTGGCAAATTAACTTAAAAGTTCTTTTCAGTTTTCATAATTAAAAACTTTCAGTTTTCATAATTAAAAACTAAGTTCAGAGGTCGGACCGAATGCAAAGCTTTTTCTTTATGAACTCAGTCCAGCAATTAGAAACTTAAAATAGCAACAGCCTTCTCTATAGTAGTGCCGCGCAGGCACTCCGAGTGCCGGACTGACATTTAGCAGTTTTTATCCAAAAAATTGGTCTACCACTTAATGTCTTTACGGACCGGCACTTTGCCAAACATACTCTAAAATAAATAAATAAATAAAATCTAATAAAAAATGGAAAGAGCTCTCTCTCTCTTGGTTGAGAGATAACAACAATAGCGCACACGGATTATAAATGATTCTCTGTTTTTCATGAAAAGCATTGTTCCAAAACCCAGCAATCTAATTTAGATTGCCAATCTATATGGAAATCAGTTTGGACCAAATCGGTTATGGGATGATACAATTCCACCAACACCCCACCTTATATATTTTTGTTATCTTTTTTAAAGCTTATCTAATGTTTTTTTAATTTCCCTCTAAACCCCGTACAATAAATCCCTATCTCAATTTTTATTTTTAATATTTTTTAATCACCAATTCATACTGACCTAGAACCCATCCAAATCATCGATAGATAAATGATCCGCCCCACCAATCTGTGTTTTAAACAGCAAATAACACCAAAAGCCACAAATGGGACTTCTTAAATTCAAAACCTTCATAATACAAAGCCTCCATATTTATTCTGCAAAATCTATTCATAGTGTTACAATATTACAACACAAACCTCTCAATATAAAAGCAGTATACACCACAAAAATCCGAAATAATAATAAAATACAGAAGATCTCAAAAAACAAAACCCCAGTGCTCCCCCAATGCTTCAAATTTAATATACAAAAAGTGGGGAGAGAACCTAAAAATTAAAGCTAGTGACAAGAAAAACCTCAAATTTTTGAGAGAACCAAAACCGCATACTGAAAAGTTATAAAAGACTTGATCATCATCTCCCTTGCACAAGCCCACTGAAGACTTGACTGTTCCCAGCAAGAGTTGCTTCCCATTCAACAGAAGACAGTAGGATTTGAGAGAGAGAAATAACAACTTGCTTCATGTCGGGACGCAAGATCGGATCCTCATCCACGCATTGCTTAGCCAACATGGCCATCTTTTACATGGTATCAACCAAGAAATGGTAAGCATTTCATCAAGAAAAAGAACAAGAAAGCTCTGAAATAGTACTGTTGTTAAATAAACATGGGTTTTGGAAACATATACAAAACAAAGCTTGGTTTTTTTTTTTTTTTTTTGTTAGAATATTTACTTATATTTCAGTAAAATGGAGTGTACAAAATTGGACGCCTACAAGTGGTGCCCTATACAAAACCCCAAAGGGCCAGGAAAAGTGCTTTGCAGCTCAAGTGTACAAGTGCAAGTACAAGCACAAGCTGGTTTGTAAAGAGATGGTTTCATTATATTATCCATTACAATTCAAAAGCCCTTTGGTCACTGTCGTAATGACAAAATCATTCTATCCAGTTTTACAAACTCTCTATCTCTCTCTCTCTCCCCTCCCTGTCACACACACACAAACATGCACGCCATGACAAGGAAATGGAAGTTCCACCATCAAGAGTGTAACACTCACCATCTCTACAGCACAATTTTGTTGCCAAAAGTGCGAATGCTACACCCTATCACTCTGCCACCACTTTTGTTAAGTGGTGAACAGGATTTGTCATGAACTCAATAGCAGCATTTTGTTGTATGGAGGGAGGGGAGGGAGGGAGGGAGGGCGGGGAAGAGAGAGAGATTATTTGCATCACCACTGAATGGCCACTGAGGAGGCAGTGGTGCTACTGCATCCCCTTTAAAACATAAAAAATAGGAATTGGAGAGAGGGAGAGCGAGCATGAGAGACAGAGGGGGATGGAGGGAAGCAAGGGATTCCATGAAAAGAATCAGAGTTGAAGCCTTGCACGGTTTTTCATATGCATGATTTGTCGCATTTTTCTTCGAAAACAAGCTCACGTCTTGAAACTTTTTGAAAAGCCAGAACTGCTTCAGCACAAATTTTAAAAACTAATGCTACTTTTGGATTACGAAATACGAGCTCTGTTTATGATAAGAAGCAATTGACAATGTGGTATGAACAAGGCATTGCTACCTTATATACACAGTCGTGGGGATATAAATCCATGAGATTGGGGTCAATGCAATCCTTCAAGCTCACCATGCTCATCGAACTTGGTGAGTTCCTCAAAGCTCCAAGCATCTGCAAAATCACCATTTTACAATAGCGAAGGGAATCACAGTTTATGCACCATAGTTCAATCATCTACGCCTCATGGACCTAAGACATTTAATCCAGGCTATAAAAATCTAACTATGAAGCTGTTCTTTTTTCTCTCGTCTCACCCTGAGTGGTTGAGAATGTAGAACACAAATTAATAAACCATGTGATTACTCTACTCTTAAACAAGAATGAGAGAGAGACAGAGAGAGAGAGTGTACAACAATTTTCCTCTCCCTGTAATATCCTCTAACTGAAAAGAAGGTTTCTTTTTGTCCAAAACTAATGTGCGTCAATATGTTAGACACACGTGTGAGCGCACATTTACATGACCCCAGGGGAATGCCTCTCTATTTCCATCCTCACTCCTAGCATCGTTATGATGTTTTCCTTTTACATTTTTATCATTTATTGATGCTCTTTCATGCCACATTTTTCCTAACTTCATTCATTCCCAATTCAATGCCCTCGTTAGAATTTCCCAATACCCATGCAAGTGAACTCACTATTGGCTTAAATAAATAAAAAAATTCGTCAATGTTCAGATTCGGAACACAGAAGTAACAGAACTTTATATGAGAATAGGAACTTACAACTGCTACAAGCGAGCGCCTTTCAACAGCAACACTAGCTGTGCCCTCAGTTCTTGTTATTGCATCTCTTCCAGATATGAGCTCAAAAAGCACAACCCCAAAAGCATAGACATCACTTTTTCTGGTAGCTTGGCCATCACTGAGATATCTGAGCAACCGTAATGACATAGAGAAATTAGAAGAGAGAAAGAGTCCCATCCAAGACAACAGGGTAGGCAAAGTACCCAACCATTGATGGGAGAGACCGAATCACATCCAAGAGAAGAGTGCAGCCAAACGGCATAATCCGATTCCCAACCTTTCAATGTGTGCATGTATATGTATGGTATGCATGCGTAGCAGAGTACCCAACCATTAATGGGAAAGACAAAATCACATCCAAGAGAATAGTGCAGTTAAACTACATAATCCCAACCACTCCTTTCAATATGCATCCGTGTGTGTGTGTGTGTGTGTGTGTGTGTGTGAGAGAGAGAGAGAGAAAAAGAGAGGTGTGAAAAGTGGCAAGTGATGGGTGTGCACCAATTTACTTACTCCGGAGCTAAATAGCCCAATGTGCCAACAATCCTCGTAACTGAAGCTTCCCCTTCATTGGTTCTTCCAACTAGTTTTGCCAGTCCAAAATCAGATATCTAAATGATTAAGAGGAGTACGGTCAGCTTTGCAGGAATTTCGAAACGAAAAATGCAGAAACGAAAAAGAAGCTAAAATCTATTCAAAAACTCCAAACCTCTTGCAATAAAGAAGCACATCGTGCATGGTAAATAAAAAGAATACAAATCATCTCCCAAAAGACAGATATGATGTTCAATTGATAAAATTGACTTTCAAGTATTCCAATGAGAAATAGACAATGGCTGAAAGTGTCGAAATGGTGAGATTTTTAAGGGGGAAAAGTTTTCAAAATTTTGGGGTGATGGAGAAAGACGCATTTAATCTGAATTGCAGAGACCTTAGCCCTAAAGGAATTGTCAAGCAAGATGTTGCTTGTTTTAATGTCGCGGTGAACATAATGAGCTTTGGTGTGCTCGTGTATGTATTCCAACCCTCTTGCAGCATCTAGTGCAATCTGCACTCTAGCAATCCATGAAAGAGATGCATAACCTGATAAAATAATGTCCATTAGAACATAAAAGAAATAGCGCTGTGAACCCAAAACAAGCTGCATATAGTGTCTTGTTTCCTATATTATCATATATAACTGTTAAAAGGGATAATCAACTATATTAATTCAAAAAAATATGATTGTCAAACACTGATTTTAGAGTATGACAAACAACTCTAACTCTCTCTCTCTCTCTCTCTCTCTCTCT